ATTCCTGCTCTTGCCCCCCATATGCCTCTGGCACTCTGCCTTGGAACAGCTGAGCAAGGAGCAGACACACTGACCCCAGCCAGCTCCTGTGTCCGTGACCCCAGGGTGAGCACTGGTTACTCCTCACCTGTTCAGGTTGTTTGGGTAGGGCAAGCTGCTGGAAAACTTCACTTCTCCAACCAAGTCCTCATACACGACAATGTCTGACTCGCTCTTCTGCTGCACCTTCGTATGCCTGGAGGATGCAAACAGGGGCTGCGATTAATCAATCTTCCCACAGGGCCTCAGCCTGACCTCCCAGCACCATCTCCAGCCAGCTGCTCACAGCACTGTAGCCAGAGGGGGCCCTCCCTATCCCTCACTCACCCATATGCTGCCCTGCAACCCCCACCCAGAAGCTGTACCAGATGGTGCTTGGATTTGTTCTGCCTGCCCAGGAAGTCGGTCATACTGGCTCTGATATAACCAGGCCTCCTCAGAGACAACTCCCAGGGAGTGCCGTACTCCCAACAGCTCCCTACTGAGGAGTCCGGAGGGAGAAGGGCGGTGACTTCCAGAGCAACCACCATCTTTGTAGGGCACCTGGCAACACACAGGGCCCCCCCCACCGCCTGGAAGAGGAAAGGTGCAAGGGCACAGGCCAGTAGCACCACATCCTCTCTGCCTCCAAAACAGGTCACTGAAAGGCCTCGGTGCTAAAGGACTGGTGGCAGCCCTGGCTTCCTGGCCAGCAACACAAAAAGCACTCAGCCCATCCCATCCCAGGCAGGCCAAACCCCCTGCCAGAGAAGGAGAGGCCCTAGGGCAGTCCTGCTGCGAACACTTGTTGCCAACACACACACACACACACACACACACACACACACACACACACCCCCATGATTGGTACAGGCTCCCCCAGTCACTCACCACTGCACAGGTTGCCAAGTGGGCAGAAATGGCCGGAAACCTGTGATGCACTCAAAGGTCAGCGTGCCAAAGCTCCAGTAGTCCACTGTCACCGTGTACTTCTGCTGCTCCAGAAGCTCCGGAGCCTACATGGCCAACACAAACTGGAAGCAAAGACCCTCTCCTCTCTTCCCCTCTCCCCTCTCTTCCCAGAGCCTTGCCTACCCCCATCCCTGAGAGAGAGCCCCCACTTGCACAGCACATCAGTGCACAGTGTTCCACCTCGCTGCACACACCCCAGAGCTACTACCACTCTCAGTGTCCCCACAGCAAGCTGCAGCTCACAACCACATGTGTACATCCAAGCATTAAGAGGACAGCATGCAGCTGGCTTGCTTGTCACAACCAGCATACACTCCCCACCATGCAGCTGCCATTCCCCCAAACCAGCATACACTCCTGGCTCCAGCCTGCTGTTCTGCCTAGAGACCAAGATGGCTAAATCCACTCCTTACCAGGTACTGCAGTGTCCCAACAAAGGATGTGCACAGGCTGCCCTGGTCCAACTCCTTGGCATAGCCCAGGTCAATGATCTTGTGTATTAACTGAGAAGGACACAGAGCAAAAAGGAGGGTGAGGACATCCTGTCCTCCAGCAGGAGCACCCGATACGGCAAAGAGCAGAGAAGATCAATGCCTACAGATGTCGAGATGGTGTGAGATAAAGAGGGGAAGGAAGCCGGAAGCAGTAGGCTCTTGCTGGATCACGAGAACAAAGAAGCTCCTCAAGCTCAATGCGAGCAGAGGTGCCAGGAACTGAAGATGCTGCTATTGGCACCAATGTGAACAGAGAGAAACTGAGGAGAGCTGGTTCACTCCAACCCTTTTACAAGAGGAGTCTGCTCACTGGGCCAGGGAGATATGAATCCACCCACTGGGAGAAGAGAGACACATCTCTGGTCGTCTCTTCTGGCACTAGGCTGCCCCAGCCCTCAAGCAGGGGGATCCACAAGCACCACCAAGATGAGCGCTCCCACACTGCCACCCCACTGCCCCAAGCAGCTCAGATATGGGGAATACACTGGAGGCTCAACGCTGCCTGCCTGGTGCAGGGTGTCAGAGATCCTCTATGACATCCTGCCTGAGCAAGGACAAGCCAGGCCAATGCATTCAGGCTGGACAAGTGCAAAGCTGGGCTGTTCTATGGAAATACCTCTGGCATGACAGTCAGACATGAGAGCAGAGACAAGTCTGGGTCAAGCTCAGACTGCAAGCCAAGAATGCCATCACGCCCAGTCCCCACACAGGGCTCTGGCAGCCACTGAAGCTTATCCAGCTGCTCTCCTGGGTTGGGTTATGGGGTCATTTCCACAAGCATCGCTGCTGCAGCTTCCACTCCCAGTCTGTCTCCTTCATGCATGCATGTGCATGCACATGCACTCCCAACCACTCATATACACCCACCCATATACATGCTCCTCGTGCACAAAAGGCTCCTGCTTACCCTTTGCTCTCCTTGCTGCAGCACAATGTTCTCTGGTTTCAAGTCTCTGTGGATGATCCTGTTCTCATGCAGGTACCTGAGAGCAGACACTGAGAGAGAGAGAGAGAGAGAGAGAGAGAGAGGACACCAGCTGGTACTCAGTATCACTTACAGCCCCAGCAGAAGCCCAGCAGTGGGCCACTGCAGAGAGAGGAAGGAACACGGAAAGCAAGGCACAGGGGCCAGGGCACTGAGAGGGTTCAGCCTATAGGTTGCTCCTACAAGCTGCTCCTGGAGAATCAGGGGCCACTCTGCTTTGCAGACAGGACGGTGCTATTGCTTGTATGCAAATTCCCTGCAGACTCCTTTCCCACCCTGATCTCTGGCCCCTCCAGGGTGCCATCTGTAAAGGCATGCTGGGTGCAGCTCCCATGCAACAGGCAGGAACAGCAGCACCAAGGCAGAGATGCTAGAAGAGGCCAGGCTGCTATGATCAGCATTTCTCAGCCCCCTCTGCACTTCCAGCAGCTGCTATACACAAGAGCTTACTCAATATCATCTGTCACCTTACAGCAGCTTTGGCTGGTCCCGGCTGCAAAGCACCTACTGGGTAACATCTCCACACTGAGATGGGCAGCGGCAACAGAATCATCTCCACACTGCCCCTGCTCACTGCCACCTGGGAACAGCAGCGGCCAAGGGCTGTTGAACTCTAGCTATAGGAACCAACATCATGTTCTACCACGTGAGGAGCCGCCACAGGGGAGCAGAGATGCCCCCCACTATTCTCATGTAAACAAGGCTCGTGGGAAGGGAAACTGGACTGTGCATGCTCATCCAGGCTGGGCCCTTGGCAGCTCCCCCCAGTTACAAGATACGGCCACACCTTGCCCATGGCTCCGGAACTAGCCAACTGTGCTCCTGAAGCCAGCAGCTGCGCTTCCCAGCACTGACTCACCCCGAGCCAGAGGGACTCACTTCCCACTCCCTCCACACCCGCCTGAGGTAGTGCTGCGTCATGGGACCCCAAGGGAAACCCGGCGTTCTGGCCTCCTCCGTGGCCTGACAGCCCTGCCTGGCATCAGGGGAGCCTCTGAAAAGACCCCTTTGAAGGGACAGTGTTAATTATTTCAACACTAATTAACCTTGGGACGTGACCAAATCCTACAGCACTGGATGGGCCCCTAAGAAAAGCTGTACCAGGAGCATGGGCTGCATCTAGCCAGGACCCAAGACTCTGCTCAGCAGCAGCCAAGGGGGCCAAAGGCACAGACCCTTCACCTGCCCAATTCACACCCACCTAAACAGGTGGTTTCTAAATATCCTCCCCTGAATCCCACAGCACCTGCCTTCCCCTACCCTACACAGGAGCAACACGTGGCTCACTTTGTGCCAGTGTCCTCTCCTTCCATGAGCCCAGCCTCAGGAAGCCCCAGAGACAAGATTGTTCTTCCCACATTAGTTCACTACCAGGAGCCATGCGAGGCACAGCAGCAAGTTTGGGGAATGGGGACAGTTTAAAGCACACAGTGCACAGTGAGCCCTGCAGTGTCCACCTGCATTCACATACAGCAGAGGCCCAAGAGTCATGGTAATAATACAAGAAAGTATCAGCCTAGCAAACCCTGGGAGGTCAGGGGCCAAGCCCAGCTCTGAGGAATCTAGGTGGTGCAAAATGGACCTCGCCCAGCGCTATGACATCCTTCCTGGCACCCGGAAATCCCGGAAGTGAGTTCTCACCGGGAGAGGAAACACGCCTGACAGCAGAGGAGTGAGAGCAGAGTCAGAGGCTGCTTCCCTTCTGAGGAGCGCCAGCAAACCAAGGCAGGAAGGTGGGAAAGGCTATCAAGGCACGACAAGTCTCTCACTGGGGTTGTAGAGAGGCAGCAGCAAGGCGCCAGACTTCCATGCATAGACCTGAGATGGTGCAGAATCACTTGGAAGAACTGGATGCCTTTAAGTCAGCAGGCCCGGATGAGCTCCATCCGAGGGTGCTGAAGGCACTGGCCAACATCACTGAAGAGCCACTGGCGGGAATATTTGAACGCTCGTGGCGCACGGGCCAAGTCCCGGAGGACTGGAAAAGGGCCAATGTGGTCCCCATTTTCAAGAAGGGGAGGAAGGAGGACCCGGGCAACTATAGGCCAGTCAGTCTCACCTCCATCCTTGGCAAAGTCTTTGAAAAAATTATCAAGGCTCACATATGCGAGAGCCCGGCAGGACAAATTATGCTGACGGGAAACCAGCACGGGTTCGTGGCAGGCAGATCGTGCCTGACCAATCTAGTCTCTTTTTATGACCAGGTTACGAAATGCCTGGACACAGGAGGAGGGGTGGATGTCGTATACTTAGACTTTAGGAAGGCCTTCAATACGGTATCCCACCCCATACTGGTGAACAAGTTAAGAGGCTGTGACTTGGATGATTACACAATCTGGTGGGTGGCAAATTGGCTAGAGGGTTGTACCCAGAGAGCAGTGGTGGACGGGTCGGTATCGACCTGGAAGGACGTGGGCAGTGGGGTCCCACAGGGCTCGGTCCTTGGACCGATACTCTTTAATGTCTTCATCAGCGACTTGGACGAGGGAGTGAAATGTACTCTGTCCAAGTTTGCAGATGACACAAAGCTATGGGGAGAAGTGGACACGCCGGAGGGCAGGGAACAACTACAAGCAGACCTGGACAGGTTGGACAA